TTATTGATGCATAATATAAGTTATGATATTATGCTAAGTTTATTACTATTTAAAATTTTTAATCGTGTTAGAATTTGTTATTATAAATTAAGTATAATATTACTGTAATTAATTTTAACAAATATTATTGTTAAAATTTTAAAAATAGTAATTTATTTTGATTTTTCTATTATGTTAATCATTTTTAAATTAAAATTATTACATTATAATATAAAATTATTATAATTAATTATTAAATTTTCAATGACCATATGAAAAATATTATGTATAATTATAATATTTTTTTAATTTTTAAATTTTATTACTTTTATTATTTGTCTTATTGTCTTATTTATTTTATTCTTATTAGTACTTTAGATAATTTTTTACTAATCTTATTAGTATTTTAGATAGGGAAAGAGGTATAGAGGGTTTGCAGGCATTAGAATTAGGTTGTTTATTGTGAGATAAGTTAGGAGATGTTTTAGAAGGCTTTTAGGAGAGGAGATGATTTAGTTGATTTGGAACGTGACTGTGTGTGTGTGCGAGAGAGAGAGAGAGAGAGAAATTTTAGGAATAAGATAGGGGATTATTGCCTATGTTGTTTCCTTATTGGTTTAATGGGCAATTATGTGGAATTAAAATAAAACAAAAAATTAGGAATGGAATTTGGAGCAAGGAGAGGCCCTCTAGCGTGGACAAATGTTGGCTTAGGAAACCACCAATACAAAGTGGGGTATAGGAAAGATGTGGATTGTAGGATTGAATAAAGTCTACCTCTGAAAAATATTCATGTATTAGATTTTTCAAAAGAGTACGGTCAGATGCACCGCAGAATTCTGATTTCCACTGCAGACCTACAATCAAAATGTCAATTACCCCCACCCTATACACCAATGCCTGCCCGTGAATTGGCATCAATTCCGAGTTGACACCATGATTGATTTTGTTTTTGAAAGCAAAAACAATATAATTTTGCTAATGTGGAAGTTGTTTATGTTTTCAAAAGTAAAACCAATCATGTTATCGTAGCAGAACACCCCTTCAATTGGATTGGTCCCACCTATGAGAATATTTGTAAAAAAAAAAAAAAAACAGCATGATCAAATGACTTGTAATCAATTCATTTTTACAGTATTTTGAGAGATTTCTAACAGTTAAATAGAATCATTCTCCACCATCCAAATGTACAATAAAAATGCAAACAAACAGGATTTTGGTCTTGTTTGTCTAGTGTGACCCATTCAATGGAAAGGTCCCTATCAATATGGCTCCAAATTGCTTTATAGGTATTATGTTCCTATGAGTAAGCTTTGGAGAAATAGTTCATGAACTTCCCAAACAGTGGTGAGAACATTTATGTTTTCAGTTCACTCATAATCTTATTGATGTATTTTCTTGCTGTTGACAAAACACACAGAATGGACAACCCCCTGTCCCTTGTTAGTCTATGTTATATTAAAGGGTTCAACTATGATAAAAAAAAAAAAACTTGTAATCAATCAACTACCAATCAGGTGGTATTCATTAAAATTAAAATTCAAGTAGGGGATTGGTCAAGCGTCATAGATTTATCAAATAATAAATTGGGTTCAACAAAAGTATTGGCAATAACAAAAGGTGTGGACTATAAAAAAGGCTTTTGCGGCTGTTTGAATAGCATTTTATAATTTAGGTTCAATAAAATGTCTGACACGTGGTATTAGGCTTCAAATACCAATTATTAAGTATTTAACCAATGTGCATAATGCCCCAAAACTGCTGGGATGTGTTTAGGGATGAAAATTTATACCTTATCCCGTAGGTATTTATTTTGATCGTGTGGGTTTTTTTTTTATATGGGTATGGTATGGCATTAGGCTAAATCCAATCATTCCCGACCTATATATTGTTAGAAAGCATATAAATTGTATGTATTAGGTGTTAAATTTAATAATATTTTGAATTTTATGTAAATGATAATTAATAGTTTATGATTTTTACATGTTTTAATTAAATAATAGGAAATTAGACGTGGGTTCTAAACCCAATCTGCCCTACCCTTTAATTTGGGGAGAATAGGGTTAGGGGAGGGTTTGGATTCTCAAAATCCAACCCACTACAGGTTTTGGGGCAGGTATGGGTTGGGAGACTTACGAAGGTAGGGTTTAGAATTTACAAAATCCTCCCTGAACTCACCCCATTGCCATCCCTAGATGTGTTAAGCCAAGCCTTTTAATCTTTAGGTTTAGAAAGAGTACAAATACAAATATGTATAATACAAATACATCCAAAATAATACAAAATAAAAAGTGTAATACATATTCGTATTTGTATTCCTTCCAAACTGAGCCTAGGACTATTAAAAAAAAAAGCCAACCTAAAATAATCAAAAAGCAAGAGATGACTTTTCACTACCTAATTAGGAACTTTTAGAGTAGAATTGACATTAATGATGGGTTGGAGGAACCAATTCCAAAAGCCTCCATATTATTCTGTTTGGCTCTTTCTGCACATGGGCAAGAATTTAGCAAACTCTAGAAATGTAGTCTTTGATTTCTACATTGTAGTGGAATTAGAATGACTAGAGGGACAGTGAAAGAATTAAGGCAATAGTATGATTTAATTCAAAATTAGGGGTGCAAATGGATTGGGTCATGATCCAATCCGATGTATATGTTATGTATTTATTTATTTATATATATATATGTTATTTATATTGCATTTTTGTATTATTTATTTTTATAAAAACATGTATATATATTAATGAAAATAGTTGAAAAAATACTTATTATTTTTTTGTTTTTCTTTATTTAAATATTTATATTTTTTTTCCTTTTAATAATCTATTAATTTTTTAAAAAATGATTCAGACCGAATTAGATTTAAATATCTAGCATCTTGATCGGATTCAAATTCAAATCAGTACTTATGAAATCTGATCAGATCTTCAAATCGAATAAGATAAGACCTATAGTATTTCAGATCAGATTTGAATATACCTTAATCTCTCTCTAAGATCTAAGGATGGCTTGGTAACTACTAAGCATTACTTTCTTATGGACTTGTCTTTTAATGGATTGGCAAAATCTATGGTGCATTAAATTGCTGCAACATTACTCAGATGTGAATAAGCCAATGTCACAATGATGATTTCAACTTTATTAAAGCCTTCAATGCTAAGTACACTTTGTGAAACGGGAATTTCCTTTTGTAACGTGCACCAAGGAAAAATAAGCAGACCATACGATATTTTTAATGTGATTGGTTGAAACTTTCATTTAATATGTAACAAATTTTTGAAATACACCCAAGTTTAATTACTTCTCCTTCATATTCAAGGTAATTTTCTCTGACTAGAATATTTTATCTACTATTTCCACATATGTTGCAATGAAAACCCTTCTTTTCATCCATTCTAACTCGTTTTGGTTCAAATGTTTTTAAAAAAAAAAATTCTATATTTTATGTTGAAAAAATAAGTGAAATATTTAGGGGTAAAATAATAACCAACGAATCCAATTATAGCATTAAAAAATAAATTATACCAAAAAAAATTGTAAACAATGAACCAGTATTTTTTTAATTGGTCAAATCTCTTCCAATATCATCCCTTCTTTTCGTTACCTTTTCCTTCAAACCAAATATAGCCTTGTGCCCCGAACCCGATTGAATAGCATAGTAGAGGATGTGAATAGGGATGCCAGTGGGTCAGGGTCGTCCTTCCCAACCTGAACCTGACCCGATGTGGCTAAATGAATAGAAGATAAAAGTTTGGTTGAATATATGTGTGCTACACATGGGATGGTTGGATTTGAACCCACCCCAGATCCAATTAAGGCTGAGCCCACCTCAACCCGACCCATGTAACCCGATCCACTGACAGCAATGCGATGCACGGTAAGAAGAGGGTGATTATCTGCTATAGTGCAACAGTACTTGTTGGCGACTTGGATCGCGATCTTGTTTTCTTTGATGTACCTTGTTGTCCATGATGTGATTTCGGCTTATCCTAGAATTGATTCCAGTGTAGGGAAAAAAAAAACACATAAATGGTGTCGGTCCCACACGACCCACCATCCTCCATCTTATACAACCCGTCACGTTGATCGGTGGGGCCACCAAAGAATGGTACGCGCATGGTGCTTTTGGCACGCGTAACACGCCTACACACGCTTTTTGAAAGACATCGTTGGAAAGGAAGCTTAGCCTGAATATCCTATTCGCATTTACAAAACTAGCTTAGCCTCGATTCCCCACTTCGGGGTCATTGTACTAAGTTACTCCAAATCACTGTCTACCGTGGATCATCATATACCCCTATCTCCATTCATCAGTACCCTCCATCATTTGGTTACTGTGATCGTAGAATCAAAGATCTCTACCAGGTCCAAACATGGGAGATTTTGCAAAGTCAACAGGAAATTTGATCGTGACCGCTTGATCTACAGTGCTTTACGTCATCAGTCAAATTGATGTTCCACTCTGGGTTTTTTCGTGTCACTTTCTGTCTATTAACTGCGTTTAATAGACATCAGATAAGGTTTACAAAGCTGCCACAATCGCTCTTTCAGTCGCCCAACGACTCTCTTCCAGATGCGAGAGATATGGATTAGATCATTAGATGCTTAAGGGTATTTTCGCAATTAAGAAAATAATTTAAATTATCCATTACACGTGTAATCATATTAGGGCGAGTAGTTTTGACAGTTAATGCGACTGCAAAAGCGGCTGGCTGTGACGGGTGGTGATAGTTCGAGAGTCAAAATTATCAGACAAAGGCAACAAAAACACGGAAGAAGAAACGCCTCGTTGGCACGTCACGCGCGCCAGATCAAACGGTTGATGTTTGATCCGCAATAAACGGAAAGCATTTCCAAGGCCATAATCGACGGCCGACGTTCTCCGGGTTTGACTCCGTTGTGGCTTTGTATGAGCACACATCACGAGACTGCATTAAATAACTAACCGTAGTTAGATCTTAACCCAACCTCGGGTTCTCTCTCTCTCTCTCTCTCTCTCATTAATTTAAGTCTTTCTTTTTCCTATTCTGATCTCTCGCTGCGTGTGTTTTGCTTGTTTGCTTTCGCGATCTCTAACAGTCAAAGGGCCATCAAATTCGCGGGAACATAACGAAAAAGTTTGGATTTTTATGTTGATTTGAGCTTCATTTTTGGATTCTCTAAGTCGAGATCTTCTCAGGAACCCTAGGTTTGATTTCGTTACTGTTCGTTCATTGGTTTTATTGAGTTTCTCCGGGTTTCTAGGGCTTTCAGTGCGTTCAGCTTACTATTCTTTTGTGTTCTGAAGGAATTCTATTGGATTTCAACAGAATATGCATGTTTTACGGCGGAGTCGAGCTTCATTTTAACATATTTCGCTGTCGATTTGTTTTAAGTTGGTCCTTTTTGTACCCATTTTCTGTAAGCTGTCTTTTTAGTAGTGCTCTCGGATTTGGTTTCTTTGATAAATTTCTCATGTCATCTTATGAATTGTTATGCTAATTGTGATGATTTACTTATGATTGTAGGGTTCTTTTGGTGCCTAAAAGATCCATTTGCTAGGTTGCGCTTGGAATGTGTATTTGGTCTAAATTTATTTGAAATTTCACCAGCTTTCGCATTTTTAATTCGTTTTTAGGTTGATCGCTCGTGGTTTCATTTAAGTTTTCTTTTCAAGGATTTGTGCCGTTGATTTTCTGATTATTATTATTATTATTGTTTTTGGTTTAGTTTTTATTAAACATAACATTATAGTACAGTTGTCTTATTTATTTTTGTTTTTCTTATAGTTTTTTCTGCTTATTTAAGTTAATGACTGAACTTCGTTCTTTTCTTAATTTCTTATCATCTCGGGTTTTCTACAAAATTTGAATTGCTCTGGTTTCGTCATTGCTGCAGAGTTTGAGCTGAAAGAGTTGATCAGTATGCCGTGGACATCTTCTTTTGTTAATTACAGCAGGAACTGTGTCCGCTTGGTGGTGTTCTTCCGTGTCATACTGTAATATTAGGGCTCCTGTCGTAAGATCCTCTTCTCCCACTTGTACCCGTTTTTGACATCAGACTGACTTTTTCTTAATTTATTTCGATCATAATTTTAATACCTGTGAACTATGAAGTTTCGCCTTCTCCATGGTCAAGTTGTTAGATTTGCTTTAGCTATTTTCTCAGTCAATCTGCTTCATTTTCCTTTTTCTCTTCGTTTCTGTTAAAGGGTTTTCTGGATTACTGGTGCTGGTGAGATACTTTGGAGTTCTGAAGGGATTGTTTTTCACTCATTTCGATCTTATTTACAAAGCGGTTTGGGCGGAGTGAGAATGTACATTGTGGTTAACCTGAAGAGATATCGAACAGTAAAGAAAGTCGGGAAAATTACAATGAATGTGAGGATCATTGCGTGCTACCAATTAATGCAAGTTTGTCAGGTAACTGTTTGTTGTTGTCTGTATGTTGAAATGCTCTTCTTCTTCTTCCTGATTAGCACTCTCAGAGAAAAACCCTTGGATATTTTCAGTCAATTTAATTTCCAATTTATGTGTTAATTATGCTTGATATTTAGCCTTTTGGTAGTATATTGGTTGGATTTTTTCTTCAATTTACATGTAACGCTTTGAAGTGGATCATTTAATTGATAATTCATGCAAAGCAAGTCCTATCTGCTTTTGGTGGATTGTCACATGAAGATGGGTACTTTTAGGATAAATAGTCATTTGATGAGCCAATAAATGGAAATTTATGCAACAGCACTTCTATAGTCCTATTATTTTTGTTGTCGTTTTGTTATTCTTATTCCTCTTTATAGGTGATGACATTTGTCTATCTGGTTAAGCAAATGCTATTTTAGATATTTTTTTGAAAGAAACTGTGTTAATGGTCAGCTTTAATCTGTTCTGTACTTGTTGCTATTTTATCTTTTGGATTCAAGGTTTTAAAATTTAATACAATTTATTCCTGTTGACCATCAAAAGAATTATTTTGGAGACCAGAGTGAAGGTGTAGGAAGGTGAGTAAATGTTCAGGACTGAAAACAAGAGAATGCAAATTGTTGTCCACATTTTCCTACACCTTGTCTTGGTTTTATTGGTGAGCCTACACCTTGTCTTGCTAATGGATGATATCATATGTAATATGCAATGGCTAAAGGGAAGCTTGTTTTGGCATTTTTATTGGTCGCCAGAGAAAAAATTGTTTCTGTTGGGTTAAGAATTGTAAATTTTGAATTTATCCCGATGATGTTATGTTATAAGAAAGTGTGTACACTTTATGGTTTTCTTCCAAATTCAAAATTTTCAGAATTTATGACAATGTTATCATGATTGTTTCTACTTGCATCTTCTCAACCATTACTTGTAATTTTAATTGATTTTGTTACTTCAAATTTGGTATTCTTCTACATTCAAAGTTCCTAGACATGTAATATTTTTTGAGGATGTTATCTGTGAGTATTTCTATTTGCAATTTCCTAACCTTTGTCTCTTGCATTCTTAACTGATCTTTATTACTTTGATGTCATTTTGCAATACCTTCATGTGTTTTCTTTTTTCTCATGGCAGGCTGAGTACTTCCGCCAGCTGCTTAAGCCTGTTACGTAGTTCAGATATTACAGACTCTGGGAAAGAGGAATTGACTGCCTTCTTGCTTTGTTAGTTTTTTAGAAGGCAGTAGCAAAAATGAAGTATTTGTATTAGTTGTTAACTTGGAATAGGCAGTTGTCTCGCCACCATGGCAGTAGCATAAGCGGCATAAGCCCCTCCAATTTAGTCTTCTCTTTAGCTTAGGAAACCTTGCTCTATTCGAAACCAAACTACTGTGTTCTCAACACAATCCTTGCATCCATCCATTCACATCCTGTATTCTACTGTTTACTGTGACCATTCATGCAGAGTGACCAACACATCTACCCTAAAAAGGTGGTAGCACCGCTCGCTTATCAAGTGAGCAGTGGCTATATGTATAATGCCCCTGTTGCACCTGGCTTAGGTTCAACTCTACCACCGGGTGCAAAGCAGACAACATCATTTCATGGGTTTGAATTTCAACCTTCTGAAGTCTTTCCAAAGAACTTCATCATTTTTGACCAGACTGACAACAGAAGCCGGATCATGTTCCATCCCACACTTGCCAACAAATTTAATTGCCCTGGATTTGATATCTGTGGGGTTAACACCGACGAAAATGGGGTGAGGAACAGGGACAACGGAGAGTTTTCCACTCCCCTCAAGGAGGACACAGAAGATATCAATGTTTTGTTAAGCTTGGAAGAGGAAGAAGAGGAAGATAGGGATGATGTCAGCACTGCACGAACTAATGGCAGCTGCGGAAGCAGTTCTCCTGATTCATGCTCAACTTATGGTTCAAAAACAAGCAAGCGAAGGTTGTCATCATCCATCCAGAAGTCATTTTCTGGCAGTGGTAGCAGCTGCAACAGTGAAAGTAAACGTCTGAGAATGAAGAAGATGATGAAGGCACTGAAGGGAATTGTACCTGGTGGTAAACAGATGAGTACAGTTGCTGTTCTTGATGAAGCTGTTAGATACCTCAAATCTCTGAAGGTAGAAGTAAAGAAGCTAGGGATAGGGAATTTCAAAAACTGAGCCATATCTCTACCACGGTAACTAAGATTAAACTCTCCCTTCTTCTCCTTATGATTATCAATAAACACCGTCCTATTAGGTTCTTTCTTCTCTCTCTCTCTCTCTCTCTCTCTCACCCCTTTTATGGCATGGAGGTTTTGGGAGAATGATGATGACTGGGGGTCCGGTTGTACACAAGGTCGTCCGACAAAGGCTTATGATGCTTTTGGTGGTGGGGTGCCGTTGCTAGACGTAAGGGTGGTAGGTTCAATTGGGTTGGGTGCGGTTGAGAGGGAATTGTCGACTTTTAGACTTTACTCACTGACCTCTGTTTGGTTTGTTGTTATTGGTCCTTTGAATTAAAGGAAGGGGTGGGGGTGGGTTGAGGGAGTTAATGTAATGTGAATGCTTTTCCTACATTCTGTCAAATCTCATTTCTGGACTTTTGCCACTACTACTATCTCCTTTAATGCCATGATGTCCTAAATATCTTTCTTTTTAGTTTCTGGCAGACTCTATTCTTCTTTTTATCTGCCTTTAGGACAAGGAAATAAGGAATCTCTTAAGCAATTCACCAAATTAAATATCCTTTGCTCGCTTTATGGTGTTTGGAATCCAAATCCATACTAATTTAATAAGTGCTTTAATGAGAATTGATTACTTTATGTGGGCGTCTCTCTCTCTCTGTCTCTCTCTCTTTCTCATAATTTATCTTGAATAGATATTTTACTTTAATTGCTTTATGTGGGCATGACTTACTCAAATCTGAAATCTGTTTGTGATTATTCATTTTTGCAAGTATTATATGTTTATGTTTCATATGCTGGAAATCGAGAGACAGGGTGGTTATGGCTTATGGGTCATGCCATGCATGGTGCTGTCCCCTCACGGGCATCAACTGCTCCAATCCTAAACCCTCCGATTGGATTTGATTAAATTGGTGGATATTAATGGCTGAGCTTTTGGAACGTTATGCATGTCCATTATCCCAGTGATTCAAGGGTCCCCTCTGCTCTTTCATGTCCTGATTCCTCAACTGAAACTCTGTATTCGGCTGGATATGCTGGACCTGGACCTGGACCTTCAGAGAGTTGATATTTTCAGCTGGAAGTGGAGGATACGCAAGGTCCTTCCTTTTTCTTCTTACTGGTGGTAGACTTTGACAATCATCTCACTGGCCATCCAATGGGTCCCACTAGAGATTTCCCTATGGACTTTTGGGATTGTTTCACCATGTTCACTTGTCTACTCTCTTCAATGCTTCAGTTCCTTTTAGGGTTTTGACCACCCCACAAAGCAATGTGAGTGCGAGTGTTTGACGCCAAGCTGGGTTGTTTTAATCTTTTAAGGTCCGACCGTCCGAGAGGACGTGAGCCTGGGGCTGGGAGCGCCAAATTTAAAGTGGATGTGGATTATTATTATTGGGTGCACTCGCGTGCAGTGTTGGAGCCCCACTTTGGACCTTTAAAACTATGTCCAAACTCCAACCTTCGTTTCGGGCGTGGGATCCCCTTGTACCAATCTGATGGGTTCTGACTTCTGAGTTACGACACTGTTGTGAAGACCAATCAGCAACGTTATGACTTAATGGGTGGCGGGTTGTCACTCTGCACTCAGTCTCAGTGCAGACTCCCCCTCCGCCATCTTCCTCCACCGTGTGAACAGAGTTCTGTCTTCTTTGATTATTGGGAATCTTTTTTTCATCATATTGGGGATGGGAGGGTGAATGTTCCCTTCTCATGGAAGATGGAACACACTCAACATTAGAGAATGGGCCACCTCTCACCAATCCTGTTTTGCCCTTTTCTCCCACTGCCATTATAGGCGGTGTTTGGAATCTAAACCATTGCTGGAGGCAACGATTTTCCCTAAAAAATCAGGAAAAAAAAAGCTGAATCTGGTATCAGCTTCCAAGTTTTATTGGGTCATTTATTAGAACACCTATAATTTTACAAACTTACTTAAACCTATCCTATCGTTTTTTTTTTTTTTTATTTAACACAACACATTAATAATTCACGAAAGCAGGTGGTAATAGCGGAACTCAATCTGCATATACGCCGGGACTACCAGCTAATGTATCAACTGGGCACCACTTGAATCCTATAGTTTTTATTTTATTAAAATACCCCTTATAGTTTGCAAGTTATTTATTTTTTTTTGGGTGGAATTGCAAGTTGCAACCTATTTACTTAGGGCCCGTTTGGTAAGTCTTTTTGAAAAGATCTTCTGGTAGCTCTGACAGTCAAGACACATTGAGCTTTTGCATGAACATCTGAGCAGCCTGAAGCTGTTTAGTATATGCATGTCTTTTTGTGCGTCTTTCCGTATCTTTCTACACGAGAATAAAACACGAAAAACTTCATTTGAAGCTTTCCAAAATCAGCCCAAAATGGGTTTCTTCCGTCTTTTTAGTGCTCCAGATTTTGGCAACTAGATCTTCTGTGAACCAAAAGGAAATAGACCAAAAATCGAACTACTCGACTTGTAAAACAGCCGAAAAACCATACGAAAAGGCATGCCAAATGGGCCCTTAAATAGGTTGCAGCCTATTTACTTAAGGTATCATAGTATTTGTTTTGCCATCTGAAAATAGTAACATGATCATCTAAATAGTGGAAAATGTTCAAGAGCATGGGCTCGTGATTGTATATTCCAAAAGTACCCCTAATACTTACTTCGTATAAAAAACAAAATTGATCAAATAGAGCGGAATAGAATGTTTATTTGTGTCTTACTAGAGGAAAAATGGTATTTTCGATTTTATTTTCTTTTGATTAAATTTATTTAAATGGACATTAACGAAAAATTTGTCATTTTTCAGTCATCTAATGAAAATTATAGTCTATAAGATAGGTTTTAATAAATCCATGAAACTATAAGGGTGTTTTAGTAAATGACTTTTTTGTTTATTCTCATTTCAAAACACATTGAGACAGTAAAAAATGTCTTCTAACAAAAACATGAAAAAGACTATTTCTAGAAAAATGACTTTCACATAAATCGAGGTAAAGGATTAACCACTTTTCACCTGAAACCAATCAACCAAATAAAAAACTGTTTGAAACACCTACATGGTACTGAAATGGTTTTCTCTTCAAGAAAATAGTTCCAATACCAAACACCATCACAATTAATGCATTCCACTCTTTTGCATGTCCACATGGCACAAGGCTCTTAAGGCAATGAATGCCACATGGAGTTGTAATCACTTTCATACAAGGTTCAAAATTTTGATACGAAGTCTATGGTATCTTTTGGGTCCCAATATGTCTGTTTACAGGTGTTTCGGGATTCATTATTTTTTAATAAAAAAATACCTTTATTTAACTCCCCAAAAACCAAATTAAAAAAGAAAACTAAAAGACTATGTTTTCACGTGTATCTAAATACTGGTACGCCTTTGCCAATACATAGAGACGTATCAATATTTTGAACCTTGCTTTCATAGAATCAAGGTAAAGAGTTGTAAGTTGTAACCATTTTTTACCTGAAATCAACCAACCAAATAAGAAGCTGTTTGAAATGCCTACATGGCACTGAAATGGCATTCTCTTGAGAAAACAGCTCCGATGCCAAACACCATCACAATTTATGCATCCCACCTTTTTGCATGCCCACATGGCACAAGGCTTTTAGGTCAATGACTGCCACGTGGAGTTGAATCTATCATTACAATTTGCCAATTACAAGTTGCCACATGGCAAAGCATCCAACCCAAAAATTACCCAATCAAAGGCAAACGGTAATGAAAAATCTTTAGCAGTTGGGGAAAAACAGCCTGAACTGTTTATGAGCTTTGTGCACACATGTTATTTCAGTTCCTTATCGTTTATTACTAAAAGAATATTGGTTGCAATTTGCAAATATCCTTTTTTACCCCACACCATGATAATGCGTCATCATGTACAGGGAGCTCCAAAACAACCCAGGTTGTTTTTTTTTCCCAAACATCTAAGCAGAAACTGATACAATTAGGTTGTACTGTGTTAGCTGTAACATAAAGGTTGTTACTTGAGGTACTTAGCTCAAATTAACATAAATTCTTACTCTGATATAAGTTACAACTAGGTGTAACTTGGAGAATTGGAGGAATGAAAAGGTAAGAATTATCTCAAACAGAGAGAGGAATCATTGCCTTTTAGTGGAGAAGCAGGATAAACCCAATATGCAGAAAAATAAATAAGCAGTAAAATCCAGTTAGGAAACAGGAATAGATCAAATGCAACCAACAAATAGAAAGTATGCTAATAATGAGAAACAAGCATGTTTGTTTTGTCTTACAGAATCTTTATTTGCCTGCGCACCAATCGATTGGATCCTATGCATTGGATGAAAGTCTTCACTCTGCTTTTTCTTCATGAACACACACGCACAGAGAGAGAGAGGTTACAAAGTTTTATGGGAGCTTGAGGTAGGAACGCAACCTAGGCAGATCTGGCACTACCTGAAGCAGATATGAACCCCTCGACCCGGATAATGAAATCGTCAGGGGTTCGGCTCCCGGGTTGAATGGTCGGCCTGTTTTAACAACAAATAAAAAAATTAAAAACAATCAAAACTATTGAATGGCTCGAACGGTTCTGGTTTTCTGGTCGGGTCCAGTTTTAAAAACCATGGTGTATTTGAATTGAGGCCTTGAATAGTCCAAGCCCAGCCACCCTAATCATACACATATAGTTTTGTGTATTTATAACATATATATGTATATTACCTATTTATCACATACATCCCAAGCTATATCTAGTTATTTCCAACATGTATATGATTAATTTAAATTAATATCCACGCACAAAATGTACAAATACACACGTGCATTTTACTTATGTAAAAACATTTTTCTAATTTTATAGTGTGTGTACTTGGCTTAAAAGAAAAATAGGCCCTGTTTGGTTTGCAGGAATAGAGGTCTAGAATCGGATTCGGAATGGGCTATTCCGATTCCAACGGGCGTAATTGGAATCCCATGCCATTCCCATTTTTGTTGGAATGACATTCCCCCATTTGAGGGAATGGCCATTCCCTCCCTCCCTTGGGAATGAAATCCCATTCTTGCTGATTCTAATTCCTATTCCCATTCTTATTTGAACCAAATAGACTATGGGAATGGACCATTCCGATTCTGATTCTGATTCTAAAGAATTTTGATTCCGATTCCGATTCCATTGACTACAGCAGTGATTTTTGCCATGAACCAAGTATAATTCATATGTTTTCTTGTTTTATTCATGGATTGATTGAAACTCCCTTGCCATTAGCCCATTTTGAACCAAACAATGTTATACATGTTTTTTAGGTTTATACATGATTGAAACTCCCTTGGAAAGCCCACTTTGAACCAAGCAATATTGTTAAATTAGTGCCTTTTTCATTAGAAAAAAGCATCCAAAAAAACACCTTACCAAGTGGATTTTAAGCGTTTTTTTACAAGCGCTTCTATTTAGAGGCAAGAAACCCCGCCAAACACAGCCTTAGAGACAAGGCATGGCATGGGCTACCCTGTAACATTATGAGCCAAGTGTAGTGAACATTATAGATCTCTAATCTGGGAAGCAATGGCATTAACCATACATGCAAAGGATCAAATGCAACCCCTTCCGTGACAAACTTACATCTAGTCTACCAGATGGTCCAAAGAACAATACAACAACATGCAATAATAGAAATATAA